CGCCTGTGTCTGACCTTTCAGACATTTCAACATCTTTTTCTGAATACGACATTGTACAATGGCATAGACAATTCACGTTTGCAGTTTGAAGAACATCTGCTTGCTTCTGATGATTTCCTTTAGCTAACCAATGAGTGTTTGCGTTATATGACTCATCCAATTACACTAGTTTTCACTAGATGTGGATGGCGTCAATGATCTGCATTGGATGGTTGCACATGACGTGAAATAAATATTTATAAACTTTAAAATGAAGCCAAGAGTAACGAGTAACATTTGTTTTTGTTTTTTATGTAAGGAATAGAAAGTACAGATACTTGTGTGAAAATGTAATGAGGAGAAGTAGGAAGAAAAATAATTAATGGAGTAAAGTATAGATACCTAAAAAGTGTACTTAAGTACAGTAACAAAGTATTTGTACTTTGTTACTTGACACCTCTGCAAACCTTAACCTTAAATTTGAACCTGTAGGGTCTGTGGTATTGCCAAGGGGAATATGAGAGATATAAGACCCAGAAACACTGGTAATATTGAGAAACCTGCCCTTTCCTAACACCTCAGCAGAGCTCTATTCTGCTCACTTCCAATTCAAACTTTCAAATATTTTAACTGCCTGATTTTAAACCTTTTTGTTATTGCTTTTTTATACATTATATACATAAGTATCTCATTAACAAAATAACAATCTCTTTTTATCCATTTGAAGTCTCCAAAATGAAGATTGTAATTATGACTTAATAAGAGAGTCTTATTTGTGTTTCTATGAGTTGACTGATAGTAGACTGAGATAACTGAACCAATTTTCTCCTCTTTATATGCATGCGTCAAAAGTGAAAGATAGTCCCGACTGCGTGTAATTGATAGAGAACTATTAGTCATTGCCAGGTTTTACTTTCACCATCAGATCATGGTTTAGATGAAAGGTGCTGTGTGGGTGTAATTGCTGCAGAGTTTGAAATAAATATGTGCACATGTAAAGGCATTAGTCATGTTTGTGTTTTGCAAGTCAAACCTCATGCAGTTTCCCACACTTTATTTCTAAGGCTCTAATCAGGTGTATCTTTATAGGTCTGTCACCATAAATCATTCACAGAGCATGCATTCATTATGTGCGAGTTTCAATCTGAAAAAAAATACCTGACATACCAAGACTATAATTCTGATCTCTTCATAGTTCTGCTTTTTTTTCATTCCTCCTAAGGTCTATAAAAAAATCTTTCAGACACAAAAAAAAAACAAAAAACAAGCAAGTAAAAACACATGTGTACAAGAACAAACTTAACCCGACAACATATTTTTACACAACAATATGTATGAAGAATTGAATTGGCATTGTAAAGCCTAAGTCATAAACTGTTTATATGCAATGTTCAAGCTTTCACAATATTTTCTTCAGGGTGTATGTTGCCTTGGCAACATTACGATAGTCTTCCAAGAACTCTGTAGTCAATAAAAGGTCTACATTGTCAAGCTGTTTTCTAATAAACAATTAAGAACATCCTACACCTGATAAGAGGTCCAAAGGTTTGTCCTTATCAGGAAGTAATACGTTCTTTGATCATTAAAATCTATTTTCTTTATGCTTAAGTAGAAAGACAGCCACAGCAGAATCTACAAATATATCATAAAATGAACACAAATAAAAGAACCATCTGTAAAAACTAAAAAATGAATCTTCCAAGATTTTTTCAGCTTCTTTTTTTTGCATTTAACCAATATCTTAAAGTATGGAGGACCTAGTTTACTGAAAAAAGAAAACCATACATTTCAAAAGCTTTTGCATTTAAATCATGCAAAAGCTGGGAAATTGTATGATACAGGAGTTGCCAGATGAGGTAAAATTTAACCTTTCAATATGGCGGAGAGCTGCGAAATGATTCTGTATGGTGGGTCCTGCATTGTTAAATGTTCTCTCCCGGTGTGTTTGTAGCCTACACAATGCTGTGACATACATCTTTTTTCTTTTTTTTTATATCACCATTTAATGTAAACTTATGTCTTTTTTTAAATAACCATAATTGTTTTGATTTTATCAGGCGGTTGCTAGCTGTCATGCGAGGAAAGCAGACAGTAGGGTAATGGGTAAACCGTTTCCTTACTGAGAATTTTCTGATTAGATCAGTAGTGTAATGTACACCAGTGATAAGCAGGTCAGGATAATCTGTGGATCCACCACTTTTCTCATCTTTACCATGACAAAACCCCTTAAACACAATGGGCTGGTCATTTCCACATTACAAGTATAAATTATGAAACTGCATGAAGGCAGCATTATATACCATGGTACACAAAGGAGTTCATTGACAACTGAATGACTAAATGGCACCATTTTTTGGCGCTTGCAAACCCCAAGCATTACACCTTCACCTATATGACAACTGGTTTGAAGTGTTTGTTGTGATAAGTTATGCTTAGTTTTAAATTAATATGGTGCCGGTCCTTACTGTCTCTATACTTTGATCTCATACAATGAACCTCATGAAGTCAATCTTAACTGAGGTCTGTTGAGTTGGAAATGGAGCTTTGAACTCTGCTATATTTAAGTTAGTCATACTTTTAAGGGAACCCTCTAAATATTATTTTTCTTGTTTTTTTATTTTATTTCTATATATGTTCTATATTTGCATATTGAGCCATATGGCTGAACAATTTCATTGTTGTTCGACTTTACAATGATTTCTTGAATGTTGGAATTGATCGCTTGTCAAGATCAGCTTTGCTGCTTTAAATCAGCGATCTCCAAATATTCTAGCTCTTACAGATGTGGTTATGCTTACTGAGGACGAACTAATCATCTAGCTGAATCCGTAAAGAGGCAATTCGTTTTTTAATTTGAGTTTCATCTTTTTAATCCATGAAGTGGAAGGACTTTTGTTTTTATATAAAGGTTTGATTAAAAAAAAAATTTTTCTAATAGTTTTTCTTTTTCAGTGCTGTGAATATACAGTAATTACAGGTTTTTGCGATCCCTCCCTCTAATGTCACCTAATCTTGTTTTTTTTTTCATTTTCTATCATGCTTAAATATTTCTAGATTACCCAAAACATTTTTGAATCAGAAAATAAAACTAAAAACATAGTTAAATTAGGAGTTTTTTTTATTAATTAAAAGAAGGTTATCTGTTCTAACCCTATGAAAACAGAGAATATCTATAAGAGGACAAATATTCTATGGCCCTATAAAATCTTAGAAAATAAAGGTGCTTTATCTTTTTCTATTACTAAATCAATGTATGTTCACTCACTAATACACATTTTTTTGGTTTATTGTCAGGTTTGCCACAGCTCATTAAGTTGGTTTTAATATAAATACATTATGCAAATACAGATTCTTTCAAATGTATCTATAACCTTCTGTTTCAGGGACAAATCTAATTTGGGGGATTAACTGAAATTACACCTTTAATGACGTCAAAGGTCATTCTAAAGGCATCAGATAACCATTGCTTGTAAAACTATGAGATGGAGTAAATAGAGTTCATTCAAAAGAAATGGACCATCATTGAGAGTTTCACAGTTCTGTGCAAAAGAGATCCGTTGATTTTTTCTAAATGTGTTTTTATCGTTTACCTTTGTGATTAATCTCTGGGGGAAGAAAATCATAACAAATACACACTAACCAGAAGCTCCCACAAAAAGAGTTTAATTGACATGTCAAACATTATATACACAGCTCCAGTAGAACACGAGTGCCACATGACATTGAAGAAGACAGTTCCTACATGAGATGTCGACATGGGAGATTAAATTAACCGGAACAGCTTTACACGTATCTAAATATTTTCAATAAATCAATGAGTATACAGGATAGGAAAGTGCTTCTCCAATTGAGAATGTTCTTACAAAAAAACCAAACAAAAAAAAAGAACTCTGCTTATCTCTCTGTTAACATTGACACTGTTCTCCATTTCCCCCACCCCCGTCAGGAATAGTCAGGTTAATATAAATGATAAGGCAGCACTGGTTAGCGTCTTGTTTATTTCCTTCTTGCATGATCTGGAAGTGCACTTTAGGACCTAAAGGTTTACATTCTGTTTTGGATGGTGGAGCACAATACGGTATTCTGTTTCTTGGGACTTTCTGGGGGAAAAATGTGGAGCTGATTAGCTCTGATGAATTTTCTCGTAAATCAGCCTTGATTTGCACTGCAGGACATTGAGTATGTTTGCTGAATCTTTGAGCACCCAATGGAATAAACAGAGAAGGGGGAGAGTGCTGCACTTAAAGGAGGATATTTTTTGAAGGCATCTCTGGCTATCTCAGAAGGATTGTATACAATAAGTAATTTGTGCATTTTTACTCAATGCCAGACATATTATCTGCTTGCTTGAACATATCCAGACAAAACTGTCTGTTGTCTATCACAGGTTTAAGGATAAATGGCAGTTAGCAGAGCTTTGATCCGGCGTTCAGCCAACAGTTCATAAAAACCCTTAATATGACATCACAGACTATTACAGCTCAAGGCTAGGCTGTTAGCAACAGTCTCTGTCCTGTATTGCAGCTATAATGCTTAAAAGCTAACGTACCTCTGGAACTGCGGGACTATACAACCAGATTGACCACAATATTTAGTTTAAAGAAGTACAGAAAGTAGAAAACTTCAAGGCAAAAGAAAGACATTCAGGAGTTAATTTATGCTACAGTGGTGAAAGACAGAAAAGAAAGGCAGACGCACTGCCTCTTCTGTGGCATTTCACAATATTCACAAAATACCACACAAAACTAGTCGATAAAAAACAAAACCATCAGTGTCGGCTCAGAGGCACCACTGCTAAAATGCTAGAAATTCATATAAAGTTTACAGGTAAATGGTATTGTCTGTTTGTCTGTCTGTGAATGATACAAAAACACTGACAGCAACTGGCTTGTTCAGATGAAGAGACACAACGATGAGAGCTTTGCACATGATGGCAGGTCAGGTTGGTGAATTTATTTGTGAAAATATAAAACTGGCCTCCTCTGAACATGTTATCAAGTTGTTATTGTGACCAATCTATATGATACATTTGTTTTTTCCTAAGTTTTGGTTTTGTGTTATTTGTTTGTTTTCAGATAATATTTCCAATTGTTTCTCTGAGTGACTCTTCATTAATCAAACCAGGCTGTGACAGTGAAAGGCACTATAACAAAGAGATCACTGCATCAAAACTACACACACAAAAACAACAATGCATATACATTATTACACATTTCTTTTATTACTTAATGTATGTTGACCTATACTTGTCAATTTGATCAAACTTATGTTTGCCTTGGTTAATTCATAAAATAGAAAATGTTCAGTTGCTTAATTTACATGTGATCAGCATATCTGAAACTGTTGAAGATTAAGTTGTCATGCAACAGTAATATTACCTCTTAATCCTAACATTTTGACACATAACAACCAATAATCAATTTGGGATTTTATAAACAAAAAGAAAAGAAAATATTAATGCTTTAAAACTTGTTTTATAGGAATAATATCTAAGTAGTGTGCGTCACATTTGTGCCAACGCCTACTCGGTTGGATATCGCCACTTAAAATCCAGCAATAACAAACAAATTGGAAAGTCTGCTTGTTTGTAAATATAATACAGCTATTTGAAATTCAAAACAGCGAACAGGTAAGCTATAAAGTTTTGGAGACTTTTAAAGGAGGGTTAAAAAAAAAACAAAGCTGTAAAAATCTCATACAGCAGAGTTTCATTTCTCATTTTAGAATAGAAAGATTGTGGCACATTTTAAAGGTGTCATAGCAAACATAGTGTCCTGGTAGACGAAACTACAGCAGGAAATTTAGGCCAAATGCAAAATGCTATATGTGGTGTAAAATCTCCCACCTAAAAAAAAAAAAAAAATCACCATTCCCAGCCCGAATCACGGTGGTGATGACACCTCTCTGTGGTATGCTTTTCCTCAGCAGAGACAGGGGGGTGGGTCAGACTTGATGGAAGGGAGAAAACTAATTAAAGGCTTCCAAAGCATGGAAAAAACCATGAACAAACAACGTGAACTACAATGGACATGTGTGAATCAAAGAATATTCAGGCTATGGCATTGACCTGAATCTAATCTAAAAGATTCAAAAATGGATGTTCTCCATCCTACCTGGATGCCTGTGCTATCTTGAAAAACAAACAAAAAAAAAAAAAGCAAAAACTTTAGCATTATGTTCCTTCACTTGACAATATGCTATATGCAAATATATGTGAAACTATGATATATTTAACAAAATCTATTTAAATCTGTGGTTGTTATGTGACAAAAATATATAAAATATTAACCAAGGGCATGTATCTAATTGGTTTTTCGAAAAAGGTCAATAATTAAATTAGTCAATATCAAATTTATTGGGTTAACCGAGAAACAGTCCCTTAACAAAATTTAAATCTAAGTCCCTTCACCAGAGCAAAACAAAACAAAACACAGTAATACAGTGATTTCATTGGTAGTTTCAGCACATTTTAATCTAAATCAGGGCATCCCCCAACTGCTAGGATTCAATTCCTCTAACACTTGTGCTATGTCAAAACCCACCTGGTACAGTGGTTGGTGATTTATGTCATTTCCAGTTCTCTTACTCTATACTTACATAACAGATACCCTATGTTATATATATTTTTTTCTTTAAGACACTTGCTCACTTTAATAATGGTATGTTTGGCTCAAAACATGCCAAAGCAAAGAACTACTTCACACTTACCATACTGCTTTCCTTTACTCAGTTTCAATTGTACTGAAATACTAGAACAACATAGTGACCATCTAAAATGAAATTAAAATGAGTCAGACTATTTTATGGTTACAGTTCATATAAGATTTAATCTCTTTAATGGCAACTAGGTAAAAAAACAAAGTTGGATTTTGATTGATCATGTTAATAAATTGCCACGCTGGAATGATCAGAAACCACTAGATCTTTATCTAACTCCTTCGCCTCTCACAAGAATGGAGACATGCATACACACACAAGCCCATAAAGACCAACACACACTTACACAGCCAGAAACACACAGGCCTACTCTGGGGCCTCACAGTAATTTAGCTCTTCGGGGCAGAGCCTAACAGTGAGATTGCCTCTGCCTGACTGAAGTTGGTCCAGACTAGTCAGATGATTGTTGCTGGGAGGAGTTCAGCAGGGTGTTTGATTCTGCACAAAAAGAAGCAGTTGAATGTTTAAGGCTTTTTAGTGGTCTATTTGAATGTGGAAATTTGGATATTTGATGGTGGTTAATGTGTTTTTGTTATACCCTGGGGATCAGCCTTGGCCACTTCTTCAGTTCTGTCTGCTTTGGCTCCAGTCTCTACGTCTGCTTCTAATTGAAAACAATGATAATGTCAGTTAAAGGAAAACACAGAAGTGCAAAGTAAAGGCAACACTGTAACATATCATTGTATGTCATTTAAATCATTTACTCATTTTCTAGTAATTTCAATCACTTTAAGTGCTTTGTACCAAAGCAACAATCAAGAACTCAGAAGCAAAAATAATGGGTGCATGAATACAGCAAAAAACACAGATTGATAAATCACTTTATTTAACCTGATATTTTATCCATGTAGGGCTCCCTCAGCGAGGGACCTACTTATTGTTAAGTGCCTTGCCTATGTGCAAGTCTAAATGTTAGGGAAGAAAACCAGAATCAAACCCACAACTGTCCGATTACAACACAAATACCATACCCACTATTTCATAGTCACTGCAGAACAAGATGAAAAGAAATGTACAAAATAATCATAATGTAGTGTTTTCAGTTATATGATTGGATAATGCAGAAATTCTCTTTAAATTCAATACTATAAAATCTTTTTTTTACTGTTCAAAGCTATATGAAAAAAATGGAATAAATATCTCTTTAATTATTTGTTCAAACCTAGTTTCTTTCTAACTTTGATATGTGATCCATATTGAAACCACTACAATCTATTAACTAATTAAACCAGGCGTTCACAGAATAACAGCCACGTTCTAAAACTGCATCTTGGCCCGTGTTGCTGAAGCTGAATAGTTCCTGTTGACTGTAAACTCAAACTTTGCTGAAGTGGCAATACTGGAACGCAGGATCTATGTGAGCTGATTGCAACTGCCAACACTCACTGAGTCGTGAAACTGAGTCTGCTGTATTTGCTGAATACTGACCTTCAAAAGGTTGTTTTTTTTTTATTCAAAAGAAAAACTCCTACACACCACTTTCCCTAAGTGGAAAAATAACTTTAAGAAGGCCAATGAAAGGCAGTCAGTTAGTTCTGATCAAACTGGAAAGTGAATGCTGACTTTAAATGGTAGAAAATGTAAAATGATTTGAGGCTTTTTTTTGTCTCCTACAAAGTTACTTCTAATCTGTTTCTCTGTTAAGGACCTTCTTACCATGCCTGTTGGTTTAGTTCAGGGGTCTGCAACCTGCGGCTCCGGAGCCACATATGGCTCTTTGGACCCTCTCCACCGGCTCTTAATACTGGCTAAAATGTATAGAAAGAGCTAAATAATTTACTATAATATATACCGGTATCAATAGCTTTAGCGTTTTTTATAAGATGGAAGAGAATGAGTTTAAAAGAACCAGAAATATATTTTCAGAGACATTTCTCTATGAATTAGCTTGAGAATTATATGTTTTAACATTAAAAATATATGATTTTATTGTTTGAGATGGCAACAACTAATTTCCTATACAAGCTTTTAAAAAAAAGGTTTTCTAGAAAAAGTCATGGTATAATTTGCGGCTCTAAACAACTTTTATTTGGTCGTACTCTGGGCAAAACGGCTCTTTGGATATGAAAGGTTGCAGACCCCTGGTTTAGTTACACATTTATGTTTATGAGTCTCAGCTCTGCTAAATTCTTGTTTTCAGATGGCTTGAATGGTGTTCTGTAAGGTGTGTTTCTTGCTTATTATAATACTATCTGTTAACATGTTTTTATACAAATTGCTTAAACCTTCACAATAGGCCTGTATCATGCACAGGTGGGCAATATCTAATGATTGTGGGACTTCTAATGGTTATTGTTTGCAGAGCCAATAATGTAATGAAATATTGGTGGCGTTCATCCAATGTTTACATTTAAGGAGAGTTAAGGTTACTTTATTTGGTAATATAGAACACTTTCTGGACCTACTACTCTGGACAGAAACACAGTGGTTATGTTTACCTGGACTTTTTTTGAAGCACAATTTCTTCTTCTGATAGGTGAAGTACCCAGCGACCGCTCCTACTGCAGACACAATGATTCCAGACAGGATTCCTGCTAAAGGTTTAGAGGTTCCCTTTCCTAAAAAAAAAAATAAAACAATTTAGCAGAAAATGAGCAATGACAAATAATAGGAGAACTTGGTCTCATTCATTAGACATTTCAAATAAATTGGTAAACGTTACTTGCTTGCCATATGATTTACAGGCTTAAAAGCATTTAAAGAATCTCCCCACTCCTTTTTTTTAATGACACTTAGTGACATGAGACAAACTAGCTTGGGTGTTTTTTTTGTTCTTAGTGCAGGAATACAACCTTGTAAAAAAATATTTCCAAAGACACGAAATTGCTCAAGTGAGTAAACATGGTTGTCTGCTTAGTGAAACTGAACCCAATAATTTACTCAACAACTGCTTTGAAATGACCTGTTTTGTTTCACTCAGTTATTAACATATCTTGCTGTATATAACATCAATTTACGACATATGTATGGAATGTACCTTCATGATACAGTGTCTCACATGGAAGTATTTCATATAGAAAAACAAGGCCTTTTTTGTACTGGGGCCAGCCTTTCAGTCAACAGAGAGTAATAATGGGGAGATACACTGAAGTGACGTGACATATGAAACGAGGACTGAAGAGGGAGGTGACTGATGGGATATAGATGAGGGGTCGAAAACCTGCGCACACCTGAGCAAACCGTAGACTGTTGCAACAGGAAAAGGTGAGAAAAACGAGGGAGGGAAGTGAGTCAAAGAACTGCAATAAACTTTAAAAAAGTGAATGAGTCAACATAGTTAAGGGGGATGAAACTTGAGACTATAGTGAGTCAGTAAACGGAGGTAAATGTCAGGCATGCATGAACATGCATGTAACGAAAAGCAGAACACCAAAGGTAAAGATACAAAGTGATCATAAATGATTTTTCTTTTCAAAAAGAAGAGCAGCAAATTGAGTTTAAGCCAGTACAAATATTTATTTTCTAGTTATGTGACTTCTGCATTTAGCCATTTCTACAATATATGCATAAAACTAACCCTCAAAGGAAAGTTTAAAGAGAATGTTTTAAAAATGTCACGAGTGAAGCTTAAACCAGCTACAGTAAACACAAAGCAAAACAGACGGGCAAATCTTATGCTGCAGGTATGTTTTGGGGAAAGGTAGGAAAATATAGTATAACCAGAAGAAGTACAACTTACCTCCAGACTGGGCTCCTTCTTGTAGTTGGAAAGACAGAACATTGAATTAGTACATAACATATCACAATAACACAACATTTGCAACTAATTTCCAAATTCCTGGATTATTTTACCGATAAACAACATAATGTTAGGCGGTTACAAAGATCCCTTTCAAATCTTTTTATCTTAACCTTCAGCTCTTGCTTGATATTTGCATTAGCATGACCAAAAAGCCCAGCACAACACACTGCACATTACAAAAGTACTCTCAGCAAAGTCTCTGGCTTTGTTTTTGTCACAAAGTGAGGATTTATAAAATAATGTAGGCAAAAAATATTTGCAAGTCTAATTGTGATTTTGTTTTTGCATTGCAACTTTAATATATTTACATGTTGTATCTATTAAAAAGGTTATGGTGTTTGTTAAACCCTACAATAGAGCTGATCTACTCTATCCCTGAACAAAGGCTGTTTCTCAGAAATGTTGCACAGAACATAAACTTCACATTTTTACACTGACTCTTCAATCTCTTGTCTTGTCAAAGGTATGTCAGTAATATCCTGTGTTTCACCAAGTTTCAAAACTACATAAGCCCCACTTCTGTATCAACAGATTTCAACAATATGGGCAGGACATGGTTCAATACAACTTTTGTTTGCAATCATACGTATTTTGATGATGAATACAAAAAACAAGGCTTACTGTCTGCTGTGGCGCCAACATTGGGGTCTAGAAAGGAAAACAACAATAAGACATGAGGATGTGATTTGTATAAGCAAAGAAAAAAATAATGATTACTCCAATACCATGGCTTTACATGTTAGGGAGTGAAGGAACAAAAAGGAGGGATTAAGTTTAATCTCCTTGTGTTAGATCTTGCTCTAGTAGATTTAAGCACTCTCACGTTTCTTCTCTAACTGTTTAAGGAACACATTGTAATTCAATTACTTAATCATTTTGACATTCACTGCCATGGTAAGTATAACAGCTCCAAGGTTAAGCACAACTCGGGCTTAAAATTTAGAAAACTTGAAATACGGCTATGCTTCAGGTCCTCAGAAACATAATAACACAAGCACATTCATGCCTCCAAAAATACATCTACTTTGGACATTTACAGATGCCTTAACATCACAGAGATCAAATACCAGATGCAAACTCTCCATGTCAATCTCTGATCTAAGAACAAGTCCATTATCACTGTCTTTGCTGTTTGTTCAAATACGTCTATGACATCACAACCACAGCCAACCTGCTTCAACTTGACAAAGCTGCAGAGGAAGCTCTCTTTCACAACAAAATCCATCATTACTGGGATTAGGGAGAGTTTGCTTTTATGTGGGCACTAAAGAGAAAATGCTAAGGATTTATCTACTCAGTGCACTGTGCTCAAACTACAACTAATTCAATTTATTTAAATTAGGCCATTTTAAACTCATGTCATGGTAAGTAGAACTTAGACAAACAAAACAACATACAGCTTTGGCATTTTCACCAATTAAGTAACTTCTAAAGGAACTGTTTTGATAGAAGACTATGACTGAGTATGATTTTGGGGATTTAAAATTTTTTATTACTGAATTGAATAGAAAAGAAAATATGATATTTTGCACTCTACTATATTGTATTTTTATAAAATTGTGGAAAGTTAATTTGGATTTGAGTTGAATGGACTGATATGGATTGACAGAGTTTATTTTGCAAAGAGCAGACAGTCCTCCTTGAACTGAATAGGACACAATATAATTCCTTGAGAATTAGCTCTTTATAAAAACCTTAAACTGAGTCAAGTAAACATAGCTTACATATAATTAGGCATGCAACTAACAATTATTTTGTAAATCGATTAATCTTTGATTATATTATAATAATTGGATAGCCAAAGGTACCTTAAAGAAGATTTTTCATGAAACTAAATGAGGTGAAACAAACTTTTCCACTTGAGGAGTCATGGATAGAGCATAATGACAGAAGAAAATGTTTTTTTATCTTAAATGCAAAATATTTATATATCTTTTTACAATTTTGATATAATTACTGCTCTAAGTGGGTTTCTCTGTCAGCTAAAGGCATGTTTTAGAGACTCTTTACTCAATTCAAATATTAATTAAATACTTAATTAGATGACAATTATTTCAGTAATCAACTAATCCAATTAATTGTTTTAGCCCAACAATAATATTGAATTTGACAAGGCCACAACATCAGAAAGCCAAATAAAACTTTGGAATGAGACACACATTTCCTAACTTTACATCATGATAGTAGTTTATGGGAGCAAACCAGCATTGAGATTACAATTAAGAAAAATCAACAGTTTCATAGTATTAGAATTAGCTGTAGGCTTGATGCAGCAGTGGACAGTTAAAAAGTGTTAATGTTTGTTTTCAGGTATTGTAGTCAGAGTAAACAATGGCTACACATAATCAGTTTAGGCAAACATCATTTTGGCTTTAACATTTTTCATGAAGTTTGATAAATATATAAAAAGATGCTAATAGTAGTGGGGCTTCTTTAAAATGCATTACCAAGACTATTAAAATATCATCTTTTAAAAACCGGAGAAAGAAGAAGCTCAATCTGTAACCTGCTCTAAAAACTTAATATCACAACGCAAAAGCAACACTAATTGGATGTTGAGAGGAGCTTTAGATGAGACAACACCCGATCCCTGCTGTAGGCAACACGTGTTCAGTTTATAGCCCATTGAGGAGAAGAGGGCTCTTTGGCTACCTGACACTGGCCCAACACAAAATATTAAGAGTTGACAGTCACTGATAACAGCAATCAGAGCAGAGGAGATGCTTAAAACAATAACAATAAAAAAAAAGCATAGCACTAGAAATTATAACGATTTAGTGATTTATAGCTATGAAACTATAACACTCTCTTGTGCAGCAGTACAGTAACCCTTAATAACAAAAAGCTTAATAAACATTTAAAGGTACTTGGTTAAGAAATTATTCCAAAGAAAATTCAGAACATAAAAAAAAAAAAACATAAAAGAGAAATTGAAAGCCAACCTTCATTGCCCAAATCTTGAATTGCGTTTTGAACTGTGGGAAAATACAAGGAAGAAAATGAGAAATCTGTTATATGATACATTAATACACATATGCCAAAGAAAGCAGTTCAGATGGACAGAACGCCACATACATCTAAAAAAAAAGGACATTTAATTAGACTGTCAATGTATGTGTAAATGAACATATTAATGATCGAGCCAAAAGCTCATCGTGGTGCTGTAAATGTTCATTCACTCACTGCCAGAAAACAGATCAAATAACATGTCAACAGTCAATTTTTTTTTAGCAGTAAGCACATGTTGCCACAAAGCATTGCCAGTCAGTCTGCTGTTTTCCCTGCTCAGACCTAACAAGGCCCTCAAACTGGTGGGACAACTTATGAAAAAATGGCCTGTTGAGCTCACATGTTAACTCTGTAGCCTTCCTAAAACTGCAATAATATTTGTATTCCAGTATGTAATCCTGTGTACCAAGATGATGAAGAACATAACTTAACAAACATTAAACAAAACTTTAAAACAAAAATGATTTAAGTCTTTTTATGAGACTTAAAAGGAACAACTTAGAAAAACTGAGCGCTCCAAGTTGCGACTGTACACTAGTTATGAAATTTCACAGGGACAGTTATGATTTCGAGGGGAAACACACGGCGTATAATAAAAACCGCATGTCAGATCATGAGCAGAATAACCACAATGATTAAACTGGCTTTTACAAATTAACTGAGAACTGATCTGCTGTTTTCCCAGTGTTGTTAATTCCTGGCTTTGTACCAATGATAAAAAAAAAAAAGCTGCACTGATACTCTGGTGAGAAATCTCTTAATTTTATATCTTTATTTATTTCTCCTCCTCCTTCAAGCAAACCAGCACAAAATAAAATAAAAAACATTAATTTTAAATAGAACATTCTTTTTTGCAATAAAGAAGATGCTTGTGTATACAACATAAACCTCTGTGATAGAAACTTGCATCATCTTGCCTAATAACAACAACACAAAGATAATTAAAGAAAATGTCAGTGATACGTTTCTGTATGAATTGAAGCTAAATAATAAACATTTTAGTTTATGTACATAACATATTTAGCTGCAGCTAGATAGCCTAATGGATTATGTTTAATGAGAAAACACTGATCTAAGGATCCTCTTGACTCACTGAAGTCTTTCTGTTCTGGTCCCGCTCTGCTTTTTCCTTGACTAAGTCGTTTAACTCCCAGATCAGCAACGCCCAACAAATTCCTAAATTGAACCTAATGTTTGAAATGAATTAAAAGCTGAACAGCTTTGTGTCTTGCTAGTTTCATGTAAATATCAGAATATCAGAACATATAGACTGTATAACTCATTTTTTAAAACCTGTGTTTCATCATTGAAACAGGTAAAGATAACATCAGCAGCAACACTCCCCAGTTCAGCGCCCCTGGATACCCAGTGGGGTTTTAAGAACAAGTCAGAAACTTAATCACAAAGGGCGTTAACAGGATCCTGTGAACCGTTGTTGATTTTTATTAAAGAATATTATTTGTCTTGAACAATGCCTCACTGGCTCTATACTAGGGAAAATCCCAGGGGCGTTCTAAAACACAGATGTCACCTGGGTGTGACTCAACCAACAACGCAAATCAGGATGAACACAGAAAGCTATGATTGGTGGATGAACATCTATTTAATAAAGCTTCTATATCTCTTTACACTTTTTTATTTTAATATGACTGAAACATGAAATAAAGTGTTTTCTTTACAGTGGACAAATTTCTTTACAGTGAAGGTCAAACACTGATAAAATCATTCCTTCTCATGACTTTATTAAAATTAACACTCCTGTCTGAATATTTTAAATGAGAAAAGTAAAAAAAAAAAATAAATAGTGGTCCCTCAGCTGTGAAGTCAGTGTAAATTATCTGGGAGATCTCTTTACTGAAATTCCAACAATTATGTTGAAGAGTTAAAGTAAGGATGAGGCCAATTCCCACCTTATAAGATTCCCCAAAAATGTTTATCATTTATGAAAATGGAACATCTGTTTGTCATAATGAAAGAGGTCTCTAATAGCTCTATGCACAAAGTCAGACATGAACTTTTAAGAAAAACAGATCATTTTAATGCATTTAACTGCACTCTCAAAGGTCATATAGGACCGGAGAAAATATCTTATATGTTTCTAAGTATTTAGTGAAAACTTAAAAGGGCTTTGTGAGTAAAACACATTTTTTTTTTTTTAAGATTTAGATCTCAATTTAATGTTTGCCTACTATTAATCCCTCTTTATAACCTTTAGAAATGTGTAATTCAGTCACCTGAAACACAGTAAACAAAAAAAACTGGAACAAAACCACTAGAAAGAAAACATTTTACATTAATTCATTATTGATTTATTACATGTAAAGAAACAGAAATCTAAAGTACATTTTAAATTATCAATATAAATATGATTAAAACATGTATAGTTCAATAATAATTTACCTTGATGCACAACCTTTTTGAAGATCCTACTTCCAACTGTGGAGAAATACATAAAACATACAAATTAATTGCCAAATAAATGATTTAGGTAGGTGCAAATTCAGCAAAAAAAAAATATAATTTTTTTACAATAAACTCAACTGACGGCACACAAAACCAACATGAAAGGAAAACATTTAGACAGTAACTCTCTGTGGTTATTCCCTATTGTCATTCTTTTGATTTTTTGATAATGTTTCGACACCTAACCAGGAGTCTCTACCAATTATGGAAGCTCAGAGTTCCAGCAGCCTGGAGTTTGGGAGCTGCTTTTTCAACCATGAGGAAGCCAACCCTCTTAGGCGCTTTCTAGGTTAGGTGCAAATAAACAACTTGCCCGTTCCTCCCCTGAGTGATAGGAGATTATTGAGTTGTTTACTTGTTCACCATTTCTTCGAGAAAAGTTTCATAATTATAGATATTGGAAAGCTAAAACCACAAAGCCCTTGATTCACTGTCAGTTTCTATCTTTTGACAAATATGACTTTTCTAACTCTTTAAGGGAGTTAAACAAATCCTAGCTAAACCTTTTATGCCAGGATAAAACGTACATGCCAGTTAAAGCAACAGGACTGCTTAGCTATTAAACATTCTTTTTTGTAATATATATTTTACAACTAAATACTTTTCATGTGTTTTTCCTTTTATTTGCAACACTTTGTTAAGGTTTTCTTCTCTTTTATTATTGTATCTGTTTTCCAGAGTATTTTTGAATTTATTTGGGATTGAATGTGACGGTTATTTGCGTCAATGAAAGTATACAAACAGAAAAGTATTCAGCAGAAAATTCAACAGAAAATCAAACCTCACCGTACATTGGAACTTAACTGACTAGTTCTATTTATGTACAACTTGTAATTTAGCCCTCACCTGGAATTCTTTGGTATAATTGTTTCCACCCTGGCTATGTGATTAACACTTTCACAATAAAATCTGCCACTGTTTTGTCATACACTGATCACACAGCAGGGAAGTGTTGCATTAAACTGGATTCTGTGACTGGAAATTCTCTGGAAAGGTGAGTGTCTTACAGGGCATGGAAAAAGTAGGCAGTGGAAACTGAAACCTTCTGCCAGAAGGAAGGTAGTGTGGGAAAACAATCTTGACAAAATTACCTATAACAACAGTTTGCCCGCTGACATCAGTTGGGGCTAAATAAGTTTTGCATGTGTGAGAAAAATGCTTATAGTCTCGACTCTATCGGGACTTTAAGCTATTCAGATCAAATTTGCCTTTTGCTGACATAACTTAATACAGTGGTTTTAAGACAATGTTTTTTCTTTATCTTAATTATGTTTTGTATCACATTAAAAAAATACATGAATAGTGTTTTATAGTAATACAAATAAATTTTCACATATAATATATATTAATAGTTGTACAAGACGCAATAGAAGGGTGTGTTGTGATAAAATGGCACATTTACTTTATATGTTTTGTCCTTGTGACGAAAAGGGGGGGGGTGGAGGTTAAACAGGTATGAGGCAGTTTAACAACATTAATAAAACCATAGTCATTTTGAGAATATGTTCAGCTCTCTGTACATTATGTCATTTCAAAACAGAGGTTTTTTATGAGGTTTATAACATCAAAATTCTACAATAATCAATATATTCAGGTTGATTATTTATGGTGCAAAGATTAATGCTTTGACTGCATTAGCTGTCTTTGGTGTGTAATCACCAATGTCTTTGTATCTTAGAAGGGTCTGTTCTCTTTTTCCAGAAAAGTGTAAGCCATCTGGCCCTTCCAAACAGTCCATTTGCAGGTTGCCATTATATACATGCATTATACACTAAACTTGTTATATAGCTTATCATATTATATTCAAATTTTTGTCACATTACAGCCATAAGCATTAATGTTTTCATTTGGATGTATGAGGTCATCCAACAGAAACCTGCACGTACATTTAGGAGGGGAAGGGGGGGTACATTAGTTCTTCATTTCGTTTTGACAGACGAAACTATCCTTTTATGGGTTAGAATCTCCCAGTAATGTAATGATCATGGTGTGTGAGTCCAGTTGTGTGGTGCGGTGAGTGCTCTCGCTCCTTCTGAGGATCTCTGTTAGATCAGCTGGAAGCAGCACACCTGTGAGCAATCATCTGCTGCAGCCTTCTTAAGGAGCTGTTTGAGGATCGATGATCCACGGTTGTTGGTTAAGTCAAGTGCTCCAAGTTTTAAGTGGATTTCCTAGTTTTTTTTCTTCCTAAGGAACATTAGAGATTTCTGCTACAACTTTCTAATTAATCTTCTTGTTGTACCGTCTCCAAGTTGAAGAAGTTTCTCAACAGGTTGCCCCCAGAAAAATCATGTCTCTACCAGCCCAGCGTCCCATTCCACTGTATCACCAGAAACTCACAACCAGGATCTCATCTCCTCCTAAAGGCACTCGTTTCACCCCGGAACAATAAGCTTCAAACTAAGGCTTCTCAGTTAAAATCGTGAAACACCAAGACCTGTGATAACAGCCATCTCCTTTTAGAAGCCGCTGAACCTTCTGGTTTCCAATCTTTACCTTTTGTCAACCAGCTGCTTGTGTGTCTTCATCTAAATTAAATTGAGAGTATGTTAACCTTTGTAATTTGATGTTTGCAGACACCGTTTGTTCATTCTGACTGAGCTGGTGTAATTTTGCAAAGTAAAATAAGAAACTTTGTGTCTCTTGATGTAGAGAGCTGAGAGAGATATATATCCCTAAAAGACATGCAGCTGTAATTTTTTTATTTTGAATTGTAAAAGATGATAAAAATTGACATCCTTTATCTTTCAATTGATGACTGTAATCTGATTCGTGTTGCATCTCACAAAAACCCGTATTTGTAGTTACAACTAAACAAAATGTGAAAAACCTCTTGAGACTTGAAAACATACAGGTGTTGTAAACAATATCCCTCAGAGTCATGTCCGTTTTTCTTCTAACTAAATGTGTGTACAGTATGTATTGTAAAATTGCAGCAAACATTTAAATTCTTACTTGTGTCTTCCGTCTTTGAATCCGAAATTGTTTCGCGTGTGGCTTCATCTGGCTATAAAAAAACAAAACCAAATCAAACGTAAAACAGCAGAAAAGATTTGTAACAAAAGAAAATAAGTTAGTTGCTGCACATAACAAGCACTGACCATTTTAGCAGCTGGTGCTGCGGTGGTTTCTTCATCTACAGCAGCTGTTGTCTGCTCATGTCCCTTAGAACCCGCATCTAAATCATTAACTGTCCATTAACAGAGATGGACAAGGATCCATTATTACAATGTCAGGGAAAACATCACCGCAAATAAAATAGAATTTATAAAATGCCATTAGCTCTGTAAAAGTTCATGATCCCTGTGAGGATGGCATAAAAGCTGGGAGTATTTTCTTCCTTACTTTGGGCCCCTAGATACCGGCTGAGTACCTTTTAACCCTCCCTCAGTAATTTTTTCTGGTTTCTTGAACATAAATCATTTGCAGTACTTTTCTACCGTGTCCAGGTCTTAGTCTATCAGAGTACTGTGGGTGGGTAATGGTTAAAACTAGGGAAACAGTGCAGAGTTAAGAACAAAAGAGGTTCCAACCAGCTAGTACAATCACACACTAAATAAAGTTGCTTCATAGAAAATAAGCTAATGTTTAACTGACAGGGTGCTTTTATCCAAAAATAAGCAGATTGTTCTTCTTTCTTTATTACCTTGTGATGTGGTAGAAGCGTCTGGTGCAGGAGCTACTGTTCCATCAGCAGTAGGTGTGATGTTTGGTTCTTCTGTAAACTGATTTGGTTCTGCGACGTCTACAGAAGACTCGACTGTTGTGTCTGTTTCTGTATAAAGTGGTTTCTCTGTTGCTATAGCAGGTTCTGCCAGCTCTGTTGTTGGGGCTGGTGTTTCTTCAGGTTCTTCTGCTTGCTCAGGCTCAGGCGTTGTTCCAGGGTCAGCCACTGGCTCAGTTGTCGATTCAGGTTCTGCTGCTGAATCAACGTCCGTTGCTGGTTCAGAGTCATCCTCTGGTTCAGCTGTTGAAATAGGGTCTGTCACTGGTTCAGGGTCAGCTGCAGGCACAGGGTCATCACTTGGCTCAGGTTGACTGTCTGTTTGTGGTGCCTCCTGTTTTTAACAAACAATCAAAACAATTGAATCTTGAGAGGGTGTCTATGTAGTTTGCAGTTCAGAACAAGGATGTAGATAAGGATAACTAGTTAGTTAAGTTTAAGACACTTTTCTGAATTACATCAGTACATCATTGAATCAGCAGGAAAGAAAATCTGCTTAGGCTTATTCCACCTCAGCAGCCATTAACTCACCCTCAACCACTTGTAGCAATAAGATTATTGTTAACCTTTATTTTTGATATAACATCTTGTACAATTTATAAACAACTAAAGCAAAATAAAAAAAGGGTGCATATTTATTTGTCTTACTGTAACTGTTCCACTCTCTGTTCCATCAACCACCGGATCTGTTGCTTCTGGTTCAGTTTCTCCATTCGGTGGAGTATCTTCCAACTGTGAATCTTCTGGATGAAGTCATGTGGAAAAAAGAAAGAAACAGAATAACATTAAAGCAATGAATAATTAACTGAAAAAGAATTGGTTTACTTTCTAATCTTAACTTTATTTACATAGCACATTCACTGTAATACCTCCGTCCTAAGTGCTGTACACAATAAACAATTCATGAAAGGAGCTAATCCATTGACACATTTAAAAACCAATGCTGTAACCCCAACACAGGAGTCTTATGTTCGCAGTTCTTCATGCTAGTAAGCAAAAACGCTGCAGGGGCTTAATATGCCCAAGGCAGTGCCATCAAATCAATGTCCAAAAACTGAGTTTTAGCATTTAGCTTTAGCCAACTTTGTGAAATCCTATCCTTCACTTCCATAAGACATTTAAACAGAATTTGCACAATTCCTGAGTTTAAAGGTGGTACTGCAAAACAATGGGCGTTTCTCAATATGCTTTCTTGAGCGTTCATTCCCTTTTCTGCTGCTGTTGTTCTTCAAAAGTACGTTTTGAAATCGTTTGAGGCGATAACATGATACATTGAAGCCTCCCTGTGTGGTCTGTTTACAGAGTTAGTGCGAAATTTAAAAAAAAGTCCGACGTTGAGCGGACCAGAGTGACCATCAGACCTACCGCTCGTTCTGATGGCGGTTTTTTGCGGTTCGGTAATTTTTTTTAATGTTTTTTAAGCTTTA